TCGAGTCATAGATGCTTATTGAGTTATGGCAACGTATCGAATTATTCACATTGGCCGAAGTTTATTGGGTTGTCGGAATATATAGATACAGAAACTTAGTTGTCGAAATGTGCGGATAGTTATCGAGCTATAAAAATTTATGGGATTATCGAAATTTATCAAGTTATTGAAATTTATTTAATTATCATTATTTATAGACTAAACGAAATTTATAGGGTTTTCGTAATGCATCGAGTTCTTTCAACTTACAGAGTTATCGATAATTATTGATCTACTGAAATTGTTCGATTTATAGAATCGAAGCTTATGGAATTTTCAATATATATCGATTTATTGAAATTTCAAGGTTGTATAAATTTACCGAGTTATCACTGCATATCGTAGCGTAATGAAGTATCGAAATTTTTCGATAGCTTTCGAAAAATATGGAGCTGTCAAAATCAAAAATTTATAAAAGTATCCAAATATATATACATTTTTGAGTTATCGAAATTTAACTAGCCCACGAACTTCACAGTTATCAAAATTAGCCGCGCTATCGAATTTTGTTGAGTTATCGGATTTTAGTGTTTTCGAAATTCATCGAGTTATCGATATGTATGAAATCACTGAAACTTATCGATAGACTGGAATGTGTCGGGTCAATACCAAGTCCTGCCGAAGTTCTCCAAAGACCTTGAAAGATATAAAAAATTTTACTCTCGGTTTAATTTTTAATTTTCATTTAGATAGCTCGTTAAAAGGCCTAACAATCAGTAGGAAAAAAATTTTAAATTTTCTGCCGGAAATTGGAAATTTAGTATTTTTTTAAAACATCTAAATTTTTGAATTCTTCAAAGACAAAAACTATAAACTAATATATAAAAATCTCGTGTCACAAAATAAAAAAAATCAAAACACAATTACGAGGATTGATAGAAGTCTTATTGATAATTTTGGCATAACATTAAGAGTTTCATCCTGCGGAATCCCGGTTAATGTTAGAACGTTTAAGGGAATTGCGAATTGAGATGTAAAGAAAATCATATAAGTTCTTTGGGTTTTATATTTCCACTTTATTAGGCTGAGCAATAGCAAGACGGCCGGATAACTCTAGTAGTTATGATATATGTAAATAAAATACTGCTAAAATTATTTTCGTTTGCTTTTCGAATCTGAATTGGAGTATTTCAGCATAAGCTACCTTGAAGACCTCTTATAGAAAAATCATCATAAAAGATGTCAATGCTTCATACTCATTAAGTTAAGTTATTCTATTAATGTAGCCATAGCTGTATCAACTGCAGATATTAAATGTACATTAACACATTAAAATTTTCCGCAAGTTTCCCTTTGTTTTTGGCACACCTTTCTTTTTTTGATCATTTTCCAATGTCTACTTTAAGCAATTATTTCTTCGCCAAAGCCAGTTCGAAAATTTAAAACCTATTCTTTCATTAGTATTTGAATAAAATGGCGCAACAAAAAAATAAAATCGATTCAAATAATTGAAACTTTGCCATAAATCACGCCTATTTTTTTTTTAATTGCATAATCCTGTTTAATACTACAAACATTTATCCCATATAAAATTGAAAACACAGCTTTATTTGCACTTTGCAATCAAGCAGTGGCAAAAAATTCGATGATACTCTAAGCGCAAAGTAAATGCTCACAGAAGCCGACTTAATAAAAAAAAGCAGCAAAGTATTTTTGTGGAAAAATGACAGTGGCATGACACAAGTGCACTCAAAAAGAGTACTTAAAAAGTATTTAGTGAGACTTACGCTTTAGCTTAATTAAACACGCATCAAACTTTAGCAAAAGCAAAAGGGAAATAGGAAAAAAAAAATAGCTGAAACCTGAAGAATGAGAACAAAGTATGAGGCGGGCGGGAAAACACATTCGTGTACGTACGCATTTCCACGAGCATATTCATACACGTTTAAGTTATAAAAAGTTTGGAGAGGATTTAAAACAAATATACTACTTATGTAAGTGTGTAATTACACAGGCATTTTAATTGCATACTAAATATTGAAATATCCCTCTCGGTAAATATCAGCAGGTAACTGATACAAAATTTAATTGAAATTTGTTTACTCTAAATATATTGCGCTTGCGAGTTAGACTGGTAGATAATAAGCCGATAAAGAAAACTTTCAGCGTATAAGTTATCCATAGTAAACCACGAAATAACTCGTAAATTTTATTGTAGCCCAAAATGTTAAAAATTTTAGCATTTTTTTATTTAATAAAAATGAGCTAAGACTTTTAAGCACTGGATAGCTTAGGGAAAAGTATTTAGATAATGCAACCAACAATCGCGCCTACATTGATGGGGTGTGATTAAAACCTACAAAGACATCCGAATAATATCTCAGTGAACCTTGATCGTCGCGATATATTTCTATTCTGTTTGTCCTTTAGTAGAGAGTTTTGTAAAATTAAATTTAAAATATAAAATTTTTCTTTTTAAAACAATAAGAACTAAACTAACGGAAATTCAAAGTAAAAAAGAAACAAATCTGAAACAAGTAATTATTAAGCAAAACACACAACCGACTTCAATTCTCATATAAAAATTTAGAAGTACTGTTAATTTTTTATGATCAAATGTTCAGATCTGAACCAAATTAGTATGGGACTATTTAACTACTAACTTTCCGATAGAATTATCGAAAATTGTCTTTTCTGTCTTTCGAAAGACTAATAAGGGTATGTGTCAACGAGCAGGTCTAGCGTTAGATATCATGTTTGTCTGAAAATTTAGTGAAATAAAAAGATAAACTTTTATTTTAATCATAAATGAAAAGAAAAAAATCAAAAAAATTAGACAAAAAAGTTAAAATCAACTTAAAAAACTAAATGAAAAAAGGTATATTTATATTTTAATAATTACTTTTCTTTTAAAAAACAAGAAAAAATAATTAAAAGAAAATTTAATTAAAAAAAGAAAAAAACTACATATTAAATTAGATAAAAAATATATGTTTCCTTTTAAAAGAATAAAATCTGAATATTAACAAAATATAAACTTAAAAATTAAATTTGATTTAAAAAATATTGTTTAAAACAATAAAATCTTAAAATTAAAGCCACCTATATTAAAGAAATTAAATAACTTTCTAAAAATGAAATGAAATTTAAAATAAATTTTTTCTTTAAAATAATAAAATCTAAATATTTAAAAAAATTTGTTTAAAAAGGATAAACAAACAATTATAGATAAGAAAAAAATACATAAAAATTGTGTTAAATAAAATAAATATTTTTCTTTTTAAAAAATCTAACAATTAAAAAAATTTAAAAATTAAATAAAAAAATAAAAACAAAATCCGCAACGCGAGGATTCCAATCTCGGTTTTCTCTCTCGGCCGTTGCGACTGTTGGAACAGCGCGAGCAAAATGATATACTTAGGGCCAAATTCACAGTGCATAGTTAACTCAGACTCGGCAGTTAATTACAGATATTCAGTATTTGCACTGTGAATTTGGCCCTTATAATATGTTCATATATCTCTATTTGAAACATGCTCAAGTTCTTTCTGTCAAAAGAGCTTTTCGCAATGAAGGTTGGCAAAGTAGCTTTTTTTTGTAAAGGCAATGTCACACGATTGGGCATTTTTCTTTATCCCAATCACGAAAAACAATTTGTCCAATCTTTTCAATAGAAGTTTGCTGTATTATGCCAATCGTGTGACTACAAAAAAAATGCCGTTTCAATATTTTTATTTTGTACCAATAACCCAAAATAAAAAATATACAAATGTACCAATCGTGTGACACTGCCTTAAGACTTTCATGACGGCGTAAACAAAATCTTTCCAACTAACTGGCCCTTCCGCCTTTGAACTGTCTTACATAAATTCTTGCAAGTATTTTAGCCAATGTTTTCCTGTAAAAATGTCGATACACCTATTTTGCTAACTGATATCGTTCTCGATGCATTCGAGTTTTTTACAGAAAAAGTTTTTTTGCCACACAGGACAGAAAACTTGAGAAAATATTGGAAGTCGCTGATAGATTTCGCATTTTCATTTAGGTGCTGCGAGCGCGTCTTACAATACACCGATTTCCAGTACTAAATATGAAAATTTTGTCACCCAAACTTTTTGTTTCAAATAAAATTTCTTTTAATTTTCAAATTATTTTCGCCTCAATATATAGTACATAGAGCAATCCTCTGTGTTTTGAAATTCAATGCACCTAAATCAGGAAACTAATAAGATTGCTTGCTCTCTAATCGCACAGCACACTCCACACATAGCATTCGTGGTTGATATACATGTGTATGTATTTTCGAAATTGCCACTTAACTTGACAGGCAAAAAGTTTTATATTGCCGCAATCTCTTGTGGATTTAATACCTCCAACCGCTCCATTTCGCTACAAAATATCATTCGAGCTACCATAAAACTAATATAAAACTCCACACACTAGTACGAATACGACTCCCTCGACATGCCAATGTTATACATTTTTACAGATCTACTGGGTAGCGCAAATATCAAATAGAAAATACAAACAAATATTTCAACTTACTCTCTATGCACGTGTAAATGGACATATCAAGAAACAATGCAACAAAGTCAAATACAACACAATTTCATTTCATTTCAAATGCATTTTTCGCAACAATGCAACAGCCAGCAATGCGAGTAGTAGTACCGGTACTACGAGTATTCGAGCAGTTTGACTAAGCCTTTTGCTGGTTTATTTTATCAAACACTTTTTTATGTAAACATAGTAATACTCTAAATGCATCTATCTTCATTTGGTGTTATAAATTTCGTTTGTTCTTTTTTCTCCTTTTTCTTCACAATTTTCAATTCAACAACTCAACTTAACTGCGCCGCTGCCACTGCCGCCGGTATACACAATCGCTTCAACATCATCAACATATCAACACCGCTCGTATTTCTGTTGGCAACAAACAACCACCACTGTTTGTGTGTGTACTCGTATATTCAACTTGTGGCTATCGTACTTTGTGCAACATATGTGCAACGTTTGTGCAGCTAACTGTACAGTTGGCAATACAACATATGCACATGGACAGACATTTAAATTGGATTGTAAAACACAATGTGTCTGCGAGGTAAGTTGACAAAATGGAGTGAAAGGGGCGAACGCTTGAGTGAGTGTTTGTGTGCAGTTTAAGCAAGGAGGAAAGGAGTGAAAGGGAGCAGTGAGATAAAATGATTGTTGAACATGCCAGCTTAGGCAGCATAAAGCTAGATATAAACGTAAACGTGTGCATGTAGTGTTTTATATTTATTAACAAATGTGTGGCTGTACTTTTTTCCATTCATTCAATATTATTGTTAGCGCTTTTATTATTTCAATTCCACTGTAGCCTACACTTTTTCCATTTATTTAGGCTTTTCTTTTTTTGCTGTTTTACTCTCATTTTCTCGTGTGTCTCTCAATTTCCTTTAGAGGTAAGTATTTGATTTGGTATTTGAAAAATGCCTGTAGGAAAAATACTACACCAAAAAGCTTTGGCGCAGAGATTTTTCTACATCCGTCACTTTAAAGCAATCTGAATGTCGGAAAAATTTTACTAGTTCAGTTGAACAAAGCGTTGTAACCGAAAATCCTCGGGGTTACCTTCGACAGTCTGCTGTCCTTCTCAGCAGCACACAACCGCAGGACCGCGGAGTCCTCGCTAAAGCAAGTCAGAAGGCAACCTTACGAACTGACGGACGAATTCCAGAGGTTAATAAAGCAACCTCTGCACCCGACAGCATATGTACAGGCCTTGAACGGCATTCACAGGGGCCTCAAGTTACATAGACTCCCGACCTGTGATTGCCGGTTTGGGCACTCAACCAGCTGACGTGGGCGAGACAGAGCTTCGTCTGCCTCGGGAGACTCCGATCACAATAGCCCCTTCTTCCTGGCTACTGCAGCAGGTTAAACTCGTACCTGAGTAGTCCAATTCGATGTTTTGCCCTCGGAGTGTACGTACGTCTAAAACACTGGAAGCTTGCCTTCCGTCTATTACATAGCCTCATGGATCTTTTTATACTTTAACCAGTACTGCATATGTTTTGAACCCCGCGAAGACGATCAGCCTCAGTCCGTTATTGGACGTTTCATCATAGAGGCTGAATTATTCGAGGGTGGGCCTAAGTATCCCTTTCTTACCACCCCTGGTATTATAATCGCCAAACGCAAGCCTCTCTCCCACCACAAATCAAACACCGAATTTGCACTGCTTTCCGTGGCAGCTACAGTAGAAGTCGCGAGGCCCCAGATATTTTATGCCTTGTGCTGTCCAAAACCACTCTTAGATATCGGTGATGACAGCTTTTGTCCTTACGAGAACATCAACCAGCCGGACAGAGGCACCTTCGCCATTAAGGGTCCGACCATTCCAGGTGTATGCGTTAAAATCGTAGTCCTTTAAATGCTTGCCTCCCCGTCTCATCCGAGTCTTTGTTATAATTTTTCATTGGAGCCTGTGTTTACTTGGCGGGTTCTAAACCCAGCGCACAACCCATTGCTGGGAGGGTGGTTGGAGTTTCTTAACCAAGTAGACGTTTATATAGCGAACCGTTTGCTCCAAGACAGATGCCCGCTTGCAGCCGCACCTACTGATGAATAGACGCTGCAGAATTCAGTGAGCCCTTTAACCGAATAAGTCGGAGTGGCCCCGCCGAAGCTCCCACTCTTTCTGCCGTGACCCAAGGCTGCACTTGGATTGGTTACCGCATCTCGCACATGGGTTTCTCACGTTGCCCAGAGAGCGCGAACGAGGATGAAGACGAAGGAGTCGGGATTGAGTATAGCCGGGCCACTGTAACTATATACCCAGCACAACGACTATACCCCATTGCTCCCCATACCGCCAAGATAAAAAGGGGCTTCGTCGAATAGATGATTTTTCGAGCCCAATTGTTATTAATTTCATTTGCATTATATCACAATATTGTTCAAGCGGGAAAAACCTGTCACTGTCAAAATAGCATACCGTATCTAAAACCACGTTTGATATCGATCAACTCCAAGAGCTCCATCCCAATCCTAAAGGAGTTGGCGGTGTTGCTCAATGTCAGTTTACATATGTGTAAGTTATTCGGGTATATCCAATTCACATTCCGTAAATTATTTTTCGTCTTGCGGAAAGTGGACTTTAAAATACGGAATTCGATCGTGCGTGTTGATTCTCCTTTCTCGAATATATTTTAAGATTTTGTGGTTGATGAATATCTGGTATATACTAGTATATTAAACAGGGTCTCTAGACGCACTAACCCGGTACTCGCAGCATCGCGCCACAGAAATATAAGAAGCTTTAATGTAGCAAAAGCACCCTTCCCAGTAAGTCCAGAAAATAGTGTTGAGCAAAGGAGGCCGCCAGCTGAAAAGCCCATTCAATAAAAAAGAGCTGTTTATAATAAAAATAAACAAAATTTGTAAATATTTACCACAGCCCCAAATTCCTCACAGTACCAGCACCGATGACGCCCTTCTCTACAGGGCTACTAGTTAAATGCAAACTTCGCTTTATTTCTCATTGTCAATGCTGCAAAAAATGCCAAAGCGTATTAGAGTAAATTGAATTTATGTGGCAATAGGATTTCTTCAACAAAGTGAGGGTGCAAGTAAATGCGACACTGGGTATGAATAAAAAATGCAGGTGCTAGACATTTAGGTGAAAATAAAAATTGTATTGAAACGAGAATAGGTAAAATTCTATCAAGGTAATGAAAAAATGCCAATGTGTTTAAGCAATTTCAGCAGCAAACACGTTCGCATATTGTCAAGCCGACATGCAAGTAAGTATATTGCAACACGTGTGGCAAGCAGTGGCAGTATCTATATGTATGCACTTGTGCACTTGCTTATTTGAATATTGTATGAAAGGGTAGAATATGTGTATGTAGGTTTTGTCTCGTTTCTGTTATTAACTTAAGCATGCACATTTGTGCCTGCATACATACTACATTCGACTACTTGTCATTTGGCTCATCTCCAATGTGTTCTCACTTCAATATCAGAATGCCTGCACTATATTTTCCCTAAAGTCTAATCTTACAGCCATTTTCAGAATGTCATCAGTGTGCAAATTATTGTTGGCCAGAGCACATATTTCCAATTAACTCTTTAATACCCACAACAATATCAACGAAATGAAAGACATGTGAAATTAAATTTTTAGTAGCCTTTTAATTCCAGTTCGATCTCTTTTGAAAGCATTCTCATTTGAAAGTAGGCATATGGGCTTAACGTGGTAGCTGAGCCGAAGCTTTTCACCTGGTATGGGTGTACTGGTGTGTTGCTACATACCAGCCACGATATGACAGGTGAGGTGTCAAGACTCACATCCTTTCCGCTCTCATCTTTTTAGAAACATTTAAGCATGCCACTCGCTAACTGCAGGCTACACGGAAATGATATAACATTCAACTGCTTGGAACGACAAACAGCTTGTACTCGTAAAGAACTCCTTCATGTCTCTGATACACTCAAAAGCATACTGACTGTTCCGGGTAGATAAATGCTGTTTCCTAGATACCCAGAGTAATAATTATTTCATGGTAGGGTTTTAAAAAAGTCATCAAAATTTTCGTAAGAATTATAAAAGTCTGTTGATAATAATTATGTGTGAGAATATTGTTTTAAGTTATCGAATACTATTGCTTTAAGACTTATACAATAGAAGTATTTTTATAATAATTATCAGCGAGATAAATATTTTTAAATCTTCAAAGGCTTTTATTTTGAGATTTAAATTATAAAAGTCTGCTCGTAATAATTATCCTTGGGATAAATATTTTTAAGTCTTCAAAGACTTTTTTAGACTTATATTATAAAAGTCTTTTGATAATAATTATGAGTGCGAACTGATCCCCACCTAGCCCCGAACTGGAAATGCTACTGAACAAGTCCCGTCTTTTAAGACTTAAACATTTTTTTCTAGCCCATAATTATTATGAAAAGAGTTTATAATATAAGTCTTAAAATAAAAGTCTTTGAAGTCATAAAAATATTTATCTCTCTGATAATTATTAGGACAAAATTTTTTTATAATATAAGCCTTAAAATAAAAGTCTTTAAAGACTTAAAAATATTTATCTCTCTGATAATTGTTATGAAAGAACTTTTATAATATAAGTCTTTGAATAACAGTTATAGATGACTCGAAAAATATTTATCTTAATATAGTGATTATTGATTGACTTTTATGCTTTTCTCTTATAATAGTTATGTCTCTGCTATTTCCCTCTCCCTAGTTGGGTCAGCACAAGAGACAAAATATCTGGCGGTGATTCTACATAGAAATCTCAATTCAAACAAGGCCACAAATATAAATGTTGCCTGTTAAAGGATTCATAGCGTAGCAAGAGGAATATCTGTGAAATTGATTTACTGGTCATTCAATAAAATGAAGGTATACGATCACCAGCCATAATTATTGAGAACCAGGCATGAAGAACGAAAACTTAAAGTATCAGTTAGATAGTTCGAAAACATTTCTTCTAGTCAATGATTCCGTCGACAAACACCCAAACAAATACTGTTTGCCTTGTCGTCTATTGAGTCTAAAAAGATTTTATTCCTGAAAAGGACACTGGTAGATTGATAATCAACAGTATCAGCGAAGATTAACAAGTTTAATATATATATAAATACCAAGTTGAAGATGGGTGCGCTCTGAAGGCTTTTGTGAACCTAGGTTTCAAAGAGTGTATGTGCTTTCGCTGGTAGAAGGAGTAGTGGGACCATAGTATACAAATATTTTAAGTTTTATTAGAGACCTTAAGCTAAAGTAAAATTGTACCAAGGCTTATCGATAACTACAAATATCTAAAAAAAACAAAAATTATGTATTAATGCATAACGGAGCTACCTTGTGGTAAGTTCTAACGAAATAGCTGTCGCTTTCGCAAAAATTGTGACCATCGCAGCTTGTGTGGTTAGGTTAGGTTAAGTAGATCTGTCCGTAGCGTTGCCAGTTGGAGTTCGATTTTAGGCGTTAAAGAAAACATCAAAACCCATTTTTTGTGTACAAGCAGCCACCATAATTTTTCCCATAAGCAATCAGGTAACAACTCTGCAATCCTTCCTTTATAGCCGTAAGATGAAGTGAGTATAATTGCTTTAGCTGTTTTTGCACATCACTTTTGTAATTTTTCGTGTGGTTAACTCATTTCAACTAGCCCTGAATTGCCCAGTCATACTGCCGTAAATTTCGTTGTACAAGTTTTGGAGTGGCCTATGTATATAGTTGGTCTTTGTGAGATTCGGTGTGGTGCCGGTCTTGGCAGTCATACCTGTTGTTTCATTACGCTCTAGTTCTTCGTGGTCGTATACACATTAGAAATGCATTATTATGTTTACAGGCAGCCAGTCAATGGCCACGGCTGCGAAGTAAATGAAATCAGAGTTGGGCAAAATTTATTCGAATGACGAATAACAAATGAATAAATTGTTTTTCTTGTTATTCGTAAATAATAAATAATTTTGTTTATTCAAAAAAAAAATTATTCGAATGACGGATAAATTATTTTATTCGTTATTCGAATAATTATTATCTTCATTAATTATTCGAATAACGAATAAAATAATAATAAAAGAAGTAATTTATGTATATAGATATGTACATATATTTATGTATATGATAAATGATAACCGTTTTCGTTGTTGCGATTTAAATCAAACCTCTGGATAGATTTAAGTCAAATTTTCGGAGGTTATTCCCTGCGCATAAAGTCCTATTAAAGGCTACTAGAAAACTCCTTGGTGGCGATGGAGCCGAGTTATTTATAAAAGCCGTATTTATGAACAGATTTCGTTCAAATTCAAAATGTGTTCTTGCTGCATGATGAAAAATACTTATGCGAAAAATGGACCCGCTAGGTGGCGCTGCAGTTGAGTTATTTAGAAAATCCCTATTTATTGTACAATCAGGTTGCAATTCATAATGGTGCTGCAGTCGAAATCATTAGAAACCCCATATGTTTGTACTACTTTGTTTTTTATGTTTATATTATATGAATTTACGATGTCTTACGTCGTCATACACCCTAAATGCGACTTTGCATCTACCTCCGCTTGATGAAATTGCTCGGGCGGCCATTGCTGCAGCAGTAAGACTCAAGGAAACCAGCTCTTGGATATTTTAAAAGTGGCGAATCAGCAAGGAAAGTAACGACCACATCCTTCCAAGAAAGACCACTGTTGGTATATCAATGGCCAAATTTTACATCGAGGGTTTTTGGCTCTCCTATAATAGAAAACGCACATCTGTGCTCTTCAGCTTCCTTATAAGGACTTTTGTTGGCCTACATGACATAAGCCTAGAGGCTGACGCATCGGACCAATGTTGTAGTTGCAAGATCATAGAAGAAGATTACGCACGCTTAGAAAAGATCTCACAAGTGGAAATAAGACCATCGGTAAAGCTCATGACATTGAAAGGGATTTTTTCTTGCATATAGCATCAGAGCGCTATTTTTTTGGCAGAAATATGTGTGAGGAGGGTTCTGCTCTTTAGTTGTTCAACCTAAATTAAGAATTTTTACTTTACCCATATTTGGGATTCAACGCTATTCTTGCATGGGCCAACGCAAAAAATCGTATCAGGGGCCGCGAAACCAGAGGGAATGAGCTAGTATTCTTGATAAAATAGCAAACAAAATTCAGCTAACTCACAATCCTTGACAATAGAAATAAAAGTAAAAGGTGGCTCAATGTGTTAAAATGAGTTTTTATTCATTATTTAAAATAACGAATAAAACAACGAATAAATTATTCGAAAGCAATTTATTCACGAATAATTTATTCGTAAATGAGTTATCTGCGAATAATTATATTACGGATAAAATTTTATTCGAATAATTATCTAAATAGCAATTTATTCGAATAATGCCCAACTCTGAATGAAATACTGTAGGAGGTAACTGCCTTAATTGCCGTCTGACTGTTTAGTTATAAGTTAACTTTTGAGTTGACTGTCGTTTCGTTGTAGGCTACCTCTGTTGCCATCCTCATTGCGAAAACCTCTGTTTTAAATATGCTGCACGGGTCAGGTAACCTTAATGCCTGTTTGACGTCCAATTTCTGGCAGTTTACTCCGGCAACCACTCCCATTGTCATTTTAGAGCCATCCGTGAAAATGTTTGGGGATATACAGCTAAGTTTCCTTCCCTTGCGCCATTCCTCCTCCTCAACCATTGTGCGAAAACGTCGTTCCCAGTAAAATCAAGGTGGCTTAATCTTAAAACCAAGCAGAATCTAAGACTTGCCTCGTATTTCCCCTGCCCTCTGTAAATTGCAGTACGAGCGTAGCGAAATATAAAGGGCCGAATCGCGGTAGTCGTTATCAAATTGAAGCGAATAAAATTACAGCTGCTTTTTCCCCCAATCTTATTACTTAAAACGAGCAATCCTTGTATGTAGAGGGTGAACCATCTATAATTTTTTCATTCGGTTTTTTTTTCTATAGATCGCGGGTGACTGGTGTCATACTATCATCTTATTCTTATTCATTATTTTTTGAAAATTCATCATGGAAGGGCTCATACCCCAACAAAGCCTCCAAATTATTCAAAATAAGAAATATGTTTGCACTTCGAACACCACCGGATTATTTTCTCTAAGGTTTTATGAAGTCAAAGGTCTTTGTAGATTAGCCATCTACCATTCAAAACTTGGAAGCCAACATTTCCCGCGTAATTCTCGAGATATCGATAGCAATGGTGGAAAGAGTAATTGAAAATTTGACCTTCTGAATGGACCACCTAAAGCATAGTCGCGGCCAATATTTGAATGAAATTATTTTTAAAAAGTACATGTCAATGATTGTTATTTTGGGTAATAATAAAGATTCCGGCATCCAGTTCTGTTTTGAGCATTTTATTTAAAATTAGAAAAATCTCTTGATACGTAAAACTTGAAAATTGAAACAATTAATGAAATTATGCATTCGGAGCAAAGCTCGGTCAAGTAGGTACTTACGACTTAAATTGACTAAATGGGTAATTACTCTTTCTAGCCATTCCAACCTAACCTAAGCTACGTCCGATATCGAAAGCTGCGATTCGGACCCAGATCGTGTGTGGTACTGACATTGTAATTCTTTGTTTTTATCTTATAGTGGGCACAGTAAAGATCGGAAGCCAAAAAGCAGCTTAGTTTTTCCCCACCCTAAAGATGCATTAACAGATGGGGATATAGTGCATCAATAACAAAATCATCAAAAAGATCGGCCTATCTCGGCAGCCTGTTCGAAAACGCCATTTCTCATAAAATTTTTCAAGAATATCCCACTTCAGAATTTGATTGAATTTCAAAATTGCTCTATTTCAAACGAAAATACATAGATAGGGCGTTTTTCAATGAAATTCTGAAATAGGGCGTTTTCGAACTGGCTCCGGAGATAGGTCGCTCTTCCACTCAGCCATCGCTATGGTAATGCCTTTTCAATCTTCTGGGCGCAATAATTGCACAACTACCCATTAAATTAAGCATTATTGCTTCTCTTTTGTGCTGTGGTGCAATACATTTTATTTCTTATTACTTACGTTCTTTGCATTGTCTGTTAATTTGCGACTGGGCCGCCCAGTCTGACAACCTTTTTATTAATTTTCGTTTGCTTCTCGCAGGCAATGCAGGCATTTTTTCGGCAATTCTTACTACTATAACAAAGATTCTTCTTTAATGTATTCCTCGTTTCCTTTTTTTACGTCATGTAACTCACACCCATAAATGCATTGCCTTAACCTTGATTTTTTACGCACTTTCAGCATTTTTCCATTTTCTTAAGATAATTATTGTATTCCTTTATTAATGCTTCTTTGTTTCACAACATACATTTGCGCAGATATATGTATGTATGTATACCCACATTTACATATAACAAACATAGTTGACTTTAAGAGCTTCCGTTATTTTCCCTCGCTACAGAATGGACGTCATGCCTGTTCGTCGCTGTGTCCGAAGGAGCAACTGCCGGCGCCGGAGGATACGCTTTCATGCAGATCACCACGTCTGGTGGAGGTGCCGGGCCATTGCTGTAAAATGTGGCTGTGTGAGAATCCCACAGCTGATGGTAAGTGTTCGAGGAATGAATGCATTTTACGGTGAAATAAGTAAAATACACAGTGAAAAAATTGGGTGATGAAACAACAAGAACGGAATTTTTGGAAATAAATTGGAATTATAGTAAACATTTAGGCGCTGTTCTTAACCTTAACTTATTGAATAATCATATGGGGCAAAAAATTTAAAATTTTCGCTCAGTGTGCCCTTCACATACAGCACACATTGAAAGAATTTTCCACAAATAAGCAAGGAAGCACGTGGCCTTGTGCTTCCTGGCCAGCTCTTCAGCAACACAAATATGCGAAAACAAACAAAAAAAAACTATCTTTAGGTCTGCCTCCTGTAGCGCAATATTCCTTTACATACATATGTGTTTGTGTGTGTATTTATGTACCATAACTACATATGTATTGGATAAGTAAACGCAAACACAGTGGCCATTGTGGGTGTTACAAAAACAATAACTACCATACCATAGCGTCACGTTGTCTACCACTTCGTTGAGACAGCATCCGCCTGAGGCCAACACGGCTGGGCAACCACAGTCATCCATGTAGATAGCTGGGCGGCATGTTGACCGCCAAGCAGCTATGGCAAAACTTAATGATTTTTAAGGCGAATTAACAAGAAATATTTATGAGTACAAGGCACAGGCGAGCAATTTTCGGCAGCAAGACAAAGCGAGCGCGTACGAGTGTAATGCTGAAGGCAATGATAAAGGAGGCGTAATTACTCATGCAAGGATAAGGAAATGAAACATTGCATTGTGATAAAAATAAAAGAAAATTCTTTAAGAGATTAATGAAAGTTGGCTGGAAGGAAGTTGTATGGCCAGGATTTATCTTTTTTTTGGTGTTTCTTTTTTTTAACTCTTGAGAACCTTTCATTCTCTCGTTGACCAACAAGTACAAAAATTTATGGCTTTGATAAGAATCTATTTTGGCATAAGATATATGCGAACCTGGATATTGAGATTTATAAGAGGAACATAATAAATAAGAGTGGAATTAGATAAGAAAACGGTCCACTTTGGCAATAATGGAAAAAAACGTAAAAGCCCTTTAAAAAATGGTTTGAGTGCTCAGAATTTATGAGTCTAAAATGAGTCTTTCTTTCGTAATAAATATGATTCTGAGATCAGTCAAGCAGACGGACCCATTTCGGACTCTTTTGGTGGCAGAAATTCTGACGTGAACAAAACCCGGCTAGCCGAACAGTAAGCATTTTGAAATAAGGATCCGAAAGGAGTCTTAATTTTGAGCTTTTTGGGATAGCTTTTTTTAAGCACTAAAAACATGCACCTTTTTCTGCGGGCTTTTGGAGTGATAAGCGTTAATGCTCATGTATGGGAGCATTTTTTGAGCATGCGGCATTTGCTAAGTGAACTTCATATGAAAAGTTTAAAGTCAATATTTTTTCTTTTTTTTTAATAAAAGAGGTGAATAATAATAAATATTTTTAAAAACTTGTCCAGAAAATCATGCAGAAAGGAAGCTGCTGAAATCGTAGATTATATTAAAAAAAGAAAACATGTGTTTATTGTGTTTGATTTGTATGGTTTTTGTCAAAGAATAAACTTTTTTTTATACAAAAATAACCCAACTTCAATTCTCATATAAAAATTTTAGTTTATCGTTAATTTCTTCATGATCCAATGATTGGATTTAAACCAAATTAGTATGGGACCACCTCCTGATAAAAAAAAGAATTGTAGAAATCGGTATAATAAAAATATTCCAACGAATTGATAACCTTTTTGTGAAATCGAGTAAACATTAGTTTCTAAAAATATTTTTTCAGCAAATCACCTCAGATCAATCACCTCAATATAAAAGATTTTTAGCTTAAAAGCTCTGCATAAAAATTTTAATTTTTTTTTTACTGGAATCAAAATAGTTAGATTTTTTGCGGTATATTGAAATCGGTCTAGTTCACCTAAATCTCAATATTTTTCCAAAATATTTTGGCGGAAGTCTGAGAATGTAATAAGTTTTATAATTCCGGTGAAAAAAACGCTACTTCTTTTGGTGAGGCACCCTAATATGCATATGTACATATTCTCTTAATTACCATTCTAACCCACTAACTCCCTGTCCCTTCCTCTCTTCCTCGCTGCAGTATACGCCACCTGCCACAATGCCTCTACAAGTCCATGGACGCCTTGCTCACAACCCTGTGGCCTTGGCATTTCGACGCGCTTCACCAGCACGAATGCAGGCTGCCGGCAATTGAGCAACTTGCGACTATGTGAAAACCGCAAATGTGATCAAGACAATAACAACAATAATAGTAAAATAAACAAAAACTATGCAATACCCATGGAAGAGTCACAGCTGGCGCAGAAAACCACAGCAATTCAACAAAAGCAGGCGCACGAACAGCAACAACAGCAACAAAAACCACAATTAATTAGCCATAATGCGGCGGCAGCGGCGGCGAGCAATTTAGTTGTAAGTGAGCCTAAGGATATTAAGGATTCAACAAATTACAATGCATTGTTCGAGCACGAGGAGCATCGAATACGCGTAAGTTGTTGATAAAAATTCTTCTTGAGTCAAAATTTTGCTACACCAAAAAAAAATTTTGTTTCGGAATTTTGTATGCTTTAATATTATTCAGCGTAATTTAGTTGCTATCTTCTCACAAATTCATAGTTTAGTTAATGTTCACAACTCGATTTTATTTTCGATTTAATTTCCCCATTATAGTTTATGAAACTTTACTCAACTGCATTGTTTTTTGTTGCACTTATGCTTTGTTACGCAGAAATATTTTTATTTAACAAATTGTTAATCCAAGTAAGCAAAACAACTAACAATAACAAGCAAAACCGCAAGCTAAGAGCCCCAGCAGACAATTGCATTTCTCAACTTAGGACAGAGGCTAAAAAAAAATTTACGCATCCGTTCACTTCAGTTTATTTTTCAACAACAGCTTAAAAATCACAAAATCTCTTTACTTTACTATCAGCATACAAATTTATTTATTTCTCGCTGCTTCATATACATACATATTTATTTATTTATGTACACACTGTAGGGTGGGGAAAATTCTGGCAACGGCCCTTCAACTCACCACAGTCTTCCGAAATACAAAATTTTTTCGTAAGAAAATTATTTTTCATTTAAAAACAGCCTCAAACGCAATAAAATTGTTGAAAATAAGTTTCTTAAAAATTAAATTAATTAATAAAAGCACAATCAAAACCAATAAATTAAATAATTAATTAAAGAAAATTAAATGAAAAGTAAAATGAAAATAAAGCAAAAATAAATAAAAGTATTTCTAATAAATATTAAACGAAATTATCTTTATAGGAATTTTTCTTTTCACAAAGATAAAATCTAAAAATTAAAGGAAAACTAAATTATGAAAAAAATTAAATAAAAACAGAATTTGATGTGTACTAAAAATTAAATAAAATAAAAATATATACTTTGTTTTAAACAAAATATAAAAAAATAAGGAGAACTAAATTAAAAAAGACAAAAAATTAAAATAAATAAAATAAAACAAGATCCTAAAATTAACTAAAGTAAAAAAATATAGTTTTCCTTTTAAAATCTAAAACCAAAAAGAAAATTAAATTTTACAAAATTTTTTGTTGATTAAAAAATATAATAAAAATTATTGAAATTAAAAAATATATATTTTTCCTTTTGAAACAGTAAATAAATAAAATAAATTTCTAAAAATTTAATTTAATTTAAGAAATATAAATTTTTCTTAATTAATATTAATTTAACAATTAAAACAAAATTAAATTAAAAAAAGCTGTTGAAGCGATGCAAGCTAGATAAAATTCAAGTGCTTTCTCCCTAAGTAGCTTTTCACCTGGAGTGGTGAATGAGAGAGCCGTTTTTAAGAAATTTGTTCTAAGTTCACACTGGTTTGCAAATAATTATGTTGAAAAAAAAATACCAAGAAACTCGTGTATATGGATTATTATGTATGGACTTCCTGAGCTCAAAACGCACTTTTTTCACGTAAAATGACATACCACTTGTTTTTATTGGACCAAAGTTGATAAAAATTGACATTTTGTCGAATTTTTGCTATTAAAAAAAATCAACTTTTCGAACTCTGGTAGCGAGCTCTAAAATGTATTTAAAAATTTCGAAATTTTCGGAGATGTCTTTATTTTGTACGTAGAACAAAATATTAACAAAATTTACGCACAAAGTTTAGGTGTTGATGTTTCTAAGGGCCGCCCTAATATACTGGTAGGTGTGTTGTTGTAACTTTCGGCTAAAAGTTTTACGTTTCCTCCTGCAGAATTTTAAGTTGATCATTCTCCGTAAAACAAAGCGGTTTAAGCTGTCAAATCTTGTCTGTTGTCGTCTTGTCTGCATAGAGAAATCTTCGGTGTTTGTTTGCAGCTTGAATACATTAAATTGTTAAGGATAAGTCGTCGGCATTCTTTAAGAAGGCAATTCAATCTTTACATAACTAAAAAAAAATTACAAAACGGAAGCTTTAAAATGGCAAAACAGAAATTTCTGCAAATTTTCTTTTAATTTAAATAAAATGAATCTAAGTGGTCTTAGCATTGAAGTATAATTTTGTAATTTTTTCGATGTCCTTGTTGTTAAAGAAATATGTATATATGTATTGTATGTATGTAAATTTTTAATCAATAAATCGTATATTCTTTGCAGAAAGGACACGAATGCCGCAATTTGCAGCGCCTTGGGCCTGCACGCATACGCCTGGGCGCCTGCATTTCACGAAAGCTATATCGACCGAAATTATGTGGACTTTGTCATCAGCATTCGGGAAAATGTTGTGTACCCTCGGTATCTACAACCATACAGGTGAGTGAAAAAAAAATGATATGTTATATACAATTAATACATATTAGGGTATTCCAGAAAATAAGATCACCATTTTTTTCGAATTTCGATAGGCGTAGTATTGTAGTCGTATTGACATTAGCTTATCGTGTGACATTATGTACTCCTCTCAATTCCATAGGTTCAGTAAAGATCTTGATCCTGGACTTGATCTTAACAAAGTCATATTAAGGCACACTGTAGCGAAGCCTGTTTTATCGACAGCTTCATCATTTTGCAATGTTTTTACGTGTAGCACTTGTAGCACTACTGTTGCTAATACGGGTTACGCCCACTTCAATTGATTTCTGTGGGCTCTGCATTCGTCATTACCTTCGGCTTTGAAATCTTCCCATATTTTGTCATCACAGCAAATGATCGATTCCAGATTTTTTTCCTCTTCTGTCTCGTTACTGGGAATCCATCCACCGCTCTATGGCGCTCATGAACCCATCCAAACTTTTCGAAGTCGAAATCCAAAATGTCCTTCATTGAAACTCCTTCACGAAGTCGCCCTGATACTCCCTATGCAATCAGCGAGTTTACACACTACGAGCGTAAGGCCAGAGTTAGGGAGTGGTCTTAGACTGTTGTGCTTTTGCGAAGTCCTTAGCCCCTCGACTTGTCATCAAGCTTTTGTATTTAGAAAATTTTTATTCTCTTCTGATTTCCCTCTTTCTTGCAGGTTGAGTTGTTATGCCCCTTGAATGCCAATGACCCCATCAGCTTTGCCGAACAACAGCAAAAGCCGGAAGGACAGTCACCACTACAGCTATGGGATACAGTGTCGCTGGAGCCAATCGATCAGGAATTCCTGCAATCACATCAAATACAAATTGAAAACAAATTCATTGCAGTTGAATGGATATTGAAATGCGAATGTAACAAAAAGGTGAGTAATATTTATTACTGTTTTTTTTTACTTATTTGATTTAATCACACATTAAAAGTACGTAGAATTGGGCGGTGCAGCTTTGTGAACCCAAGAAGATAAATTAAACGCCTGCGGTCCATTTCAACCAGAAATATATTTTTTGTTGCATACTTATGCCCTAGCTACCTTCCAGCATTCTCTGAGTTGCAAGAAGGCTCGCCTGTCCTAAGGTGCTAAGTTTACAAAGGTTCTGACAATTGGCTCCGGAAGAATATTATTAGAAACCCCCTCAATGTCAATAGTTGCACCCACAATGAAGTCCTTTTGTAGAAAAACATCCGCCTGCGATTTCACGATTAGCATCGCGCTATCCAGAGGGGCTTCACTTTGGAGTGCGCCTCTGCTACACAGGGAAAACGGTTTAGTTGGGTCAACCACATATATATCTCTTAAAACATGTCTTTCTTATAGTTAACACACCTTGTTTTGAGGGAAATGGAACCACTAAATTCTTTTTTCAATACTGTTAGAAGAAGCAGATCGTCTCTTTAAACAGACCTTTTATATATGTATGAATTGCACCAAGATTCGACTTGTCTATTTATGTTTTTATTTAATTATTTTTAATTTTATTGATCTTTAGGCCGTTTTTAATTCAAAAAAATAATATTAGTTTGTTATTAAATAGGCTTATAAATAGCAAAAAAAAAATTTTAAGAATTTGCAATCAAAATACTGTTCATTCTATAATAAAACCCAAATAAACGCAAGTTTAAAACTTTGCGTAAAACTAAAAAAAGAGTTCAATATATTTCCCTCCAAATTTCTAACTTTTTTCTCAGAAGTGTTAGAATTTTTTTTTAAGTAAGCATTTTTATTGTCCGTTGATTTTTATTTATTTTTGTCGCACTTGCTTCAATATAACGAATAAACACAATTTATTCTCTTACATATGAACAAATCTCGCGAGTCGTTACATACTCGCAAGACGTTGCTTAAAAGTCATATTATTTAAAAATAATTAAATATGGGTGTGGAATATTTCTCTACAGTATTCGAGGAGAATATGTATTAGTTTCTTCATCCATGTAACAATTTTAGAATGAATTTAAGTTGTGTCGATAGAAATTGTAAAATTGAAATTTTTGTTTCTCAAATCAGCGTTTACTTATAATGAGCGTAATTTTTTTCATTTGATGGCACATTAGTTTCATTACTCTAGATTGGTTCGCTAGGGCAAGAAAATTTTCACCGTTTAATGTTAAAATCTTGAAGTAAATTAAACTTTTAAAATGAAAAAAATCGTTAAATATCTACAAAATAGCTGCCTTTTTTTGGTGGCACACTCTTGAAACACCACTGGTATGTTGTATATGATGAAAACTTGTATTACCTCTAACATCAACATTTTATTTGAAAACTGCCCAAAGTTCTTAAAAAAATATAATTTTTTCGAGTAACAATGAAAAATTAGTAATTTCGCCTTAGTAAACTTTTTAGAGCTAAAATTGTTCAAATACTTGATTTATTTATTATTGTACGTACTTGGTTTTGGAACTCCATTGATTGAAATTAATGCAAGAAGAATGCTTTAATGTTTTTTTTTTGGCAAAAGAAGGGAGTGAAAACAACTCATAAGATTTGCTCATATACATACGTAGAAGAAAACCGCAACACCTTCAGCAAAATAAACTTAAAAAAATCAACTTTAATTTTTAGCCACTAAAATTTAATGCGCTATAAAACTTTATACACAGAAACTTCTAACACTTCTGAGAAAAAGTTCGAAATTTTCATTAAATTTTTTTCAATTTTATTATTTTGTTTTCTACAAATTTTTAAACTACGATTTTTTAGAGAATGAACTGCATTTTAATAGAAAATTCTTAAAAATAAATAAGTAAATATTTGTGGCAAATACTTACATTTTGAAATTGGGGTCCTGATGATATAACCGATACTGTACATTCGCATAAAATCTTAAATCACACGACTGGAATGTCTTTTATTGCACATTAAAATTCCAATGAAAACATAAAAATTTTACATCATTCGGCAAAATTATGAAACCAATGGTAAAGGTGCTCAAATAATATCGGCAACAGTGTAACATCCTTAACGAATGACCATAAGATCTCATCAAAATAAATACTATTAACAATAAAAGGACACACATTTTCGCAGAGCCAATTGACCTTCAATAAAAATTGCTTACATAAAAAATTCATTGATGCATACATGGTGCCATAAATAAATACAGATATGTATATAAATACCTAAGTAGCCAGCACAGACCAGAAGTGACACACGCAACATTGCTTCCTGCGGATTACATCAGAGTAAAATGCCATAAAATCACATTTTCTCACTCCTGCCTTTTTTACCTATTTCCTAAGGGCCCTATTGATAGGCCCATGTAGTATGTCAGAAAGCCTGCTTTGACAGAACAAAGGGCCATTGCGCATAAATATACTTGTTTCTAAATGAAAATTTCAATCCAAGCAAAAGCAGTAAAATTAAAATGAGATAAAGCAGGAAACAATAAAAATTCCATGTACAAAGAACAAAACACACATAGAACAAGTAAGGACGACAATACAGGATAAAAAATCACTTATGTACAAAGCTTATTAAAAAAGCAAGCAATAAAAATCACTCCAACACAAATGGTTACATACTATTGGGCATAGATCCTGTCACTTAAGAACAATAGTACATGGAATGAATTGTATGACAATATATTGAAAGGCTGAGTGTAGGAAAGCAGCATGAAACAGACGGCAGGTTCATATTGCTGGTAAAAAAGGGGTCAAGTAAATGCGATTAGAATGAGAAGTGAAAACAATTTCCGCTTGAATGCATGAATGAAAGGATATGAATGTGCTAGCATACAAGCAATATGGCCAGATAAAACCGCATACTTTGAGCAAGATACTCGTATTTGAAAATGGCTTGTAAATCAATGAATAAATATTGTAAGAGCCAAAGGAAAATGAAACATCATTCGAAAATTAAAATCCACTGGCTGTGGCCCTGCCGGAAAAGCGTGGTCTTACACAGAGTATACTTCTTGCACTATTTATGGACACATAGAGCACAAAACGCTAAGCTAAAACTGAGTTTATACCAAAACTAAACCCACATGCCTTCAAGGGGTGCTGCAGTGTCTATGTGATTCGTAATTAGAATATTGACAAAATATTAAATGGCGAAATGGTGAAATGACGCTTGCGATTAATAGAAAATTTTACAATATCAATTTTGAATAGTTTTCATTTAATTAGTGATAAAAATTCAGCAGACCATGCCAAATTTAAAATTTGGCTCGACTGAAAAATATATTAAGAAGTTACCAAATTCGAAAATCCTACTACTTAATACTACACATAATACAAAAATTTAAAGGTAAAACCGCTGAGAGGCAGCCTGAATATGTTTGAAGTTATCTAGCATAACAAAATTGTTTTCAAATTTTTCATCTCACACATGCATTCTCCCTTTTAGTCTCAAATAAAAATAAAATTTAATATTTTCATGTTAATTTTTTGTTTTACTTTTATTTGGCAATTGAGTTGCTCTGAAAATTTTAATTTTATAAAGTAGACAAACTTCAAGAAATAAACGATGACCGACGAATTGAGCGAACGGTTTTATCTTTAAATGCTTGTATCATGATACTACATATAAACGTGAAAGTTTTTGAGTGAGTGGTGTGTGAGTAGTCTTCTTGCTCTTTCACGCTAAAACGGCTGGCCGTATTTCAATGAAATTTGACAGACATAAAGGCTATGATGACCCAAGGCATATTAAACAGCTAGTAGCATTAGAGCAAAAACAACATTTGCGTGTATTTTGTTGTTGCTTCTGGTACCGAAAGTGTCGAAACCTGTTCTGATTTTTTCCTTCTAAATCAAAGCGTGCCATGTGAAATACAAAAAAAAATAAAAAAATTAAATTGCAAAAAATTAAAATTGTTGCCACTTTCTTTCTTAGTAAATTTGTTTGCTTCTCGAAGCATTGATCCAGCCTTTGTAAGGCCCAGTAATCAGCGGTTGTGCTGCTGAGTTGGGCGATCGTTCCAAAAGCTGCTATTCAATCGCTTGTTTTGTATGGAAAAAGGTTTCACATGCAAATAGATTTTAACAATTTAAAATTTTCTGAGAATAAATTAATAATATTTGACAGTTTCGAGACCAAATAATTTGAAAACAATCAAATCAGCTGCTCTACTTATACTACCTGTTCAATGTGCCTTGCTATGATCTGAATTAACATAAAGGATATTCTTTTAAAAGAGCTGGCGCCTTTTTAAAAAGTTTAAATTAAATCTAACAAGTTCTAAAACTATTCATTTCAAAAATTCATTTCAAAAATATTTGTTTTACGGGTTGCCACCTATGTATTTTAAAAGTTGAAATCGACTAATTAATAAGTGAAATATGTGGATGTCGGATGAAAAGGGTGGTTCGACCAAGATTTATGTTTTTCGAAAATAAAAGTTAAAGAAAAAATTTATATATTATTAAAATATTCACCTTCCCTTCAATTTAAAATCAATTTAATTAACGAGTTCAACGAACTCTTTCGATATTGATATCAAATAAAAGAGGTTTAAGAAACACTTATTTCAAAACTTATTCTTAAAAGGAGCTGCCACCTATTTAGAAATTCAAAATAAATTTAATTCGCATTTAGAAACTGAAATCCGCTTCAAGCATTGACTGGAGATGCAGAACGATCACGCATGACTTCGGCTCTGCGCGAAATTTTTTTCTAACCGAAATGTAGCCTAAACATCATCGAATAACAATAAACGGTTTTAATATAGCACCTTAATATGCAAACGGTTCAAAAAATATTTCTCGGTTTGATAGGTTGGACGGCCGGATAAAATGTAAACGCATATTTTAGAAAGCGTTTCCGCTACTATTTTAACCCTTTGTATACGGCGGAAAAAACTAGCATTACCTACCATTTGTGGTTCATTGGACCCCTATGTACATAAATAATAATGTGGT